GGGGGGGGCGGGGGGCGGGCAACAGCCAATCAATCGTCTGGACACACAGGAGCCCACACACATACACACAAATACGGAACACGAACAAGAATATTATCGGCAATTGGTTAGGTTGAACACCCATTAACATCTGCAACAACTACAGCATCATCTACATGTTTTCGCATCCCATTGTTTTTTGTGCGTTTGCCTATGTTTGTGTGTGTGTGTGTGTGTGTGTGTGCGTTGATGGAGTAATGATGATGATGACTTTTGGCCACAACTGCTGTTGTTCACTAATCGTTCGTGTTGGTTGGTTGTGTGTGTGTGTGTGTGTGTGTGTGTGTGCATTTTGTTCACGCGCTGTTCCATCGCGCTGTTCCGCATGCATCTGGGTGCGGGGGGCTTGTTGTTGCTGGAGTGTTGCAGCTTTGCTTGGTGCTAAGGGAGGGGAGGTCTTGATCCCTCTGCCTCGTGTTTGATTGCTTCAAGCTTCTTCCGTTTCCTGTCTTGGCTCGGTCCCAGGCGTGGGCGTGTTGTTGTTGTACGTGGGGTAGATTGGTTTGGTGGGAGCCTTTGGAGGGCGGCGTTCTGCTCTTGAGGGCTGCATCCTTGCTCGTTGAATCGGCCGGCCTCCCCACAGGCGCTTCGATCAAGACGGGCTGAAAGCATCAGGTCTGACCGCCCGGCTTCTCCCAGCTCTTTCACCCTTCCATACCAAGGGGATTGCCTTCGAACGAATACCAAGCGAACCCACAGCAATCATGGCCAACCCCGTCGTGCCCGCCAACATCCCGCCCCCTGATGACCCGTGCGTAGCGCTTTCAGCCCACAACACATGTTGTTGTTTTTCGCCCCATGCTGTCCTTGGCTCCTCCTCGTGCCCGTTCACCGGCTTTGGGCCAGGCGAAGATCCAAGGTCAAGCCTCGACTGCCAAAATCGCGCATCCTCATCCTCACGGCATTTTCCAATGACATTCATCCTTGGTCGCAGGAATCGGATCAACATTATCATCGTTGGCGATGCTGGTGAGTGTCCCTGTGTGCCCCTTGCCCTGGCCACAAAGGCACCGAGCTGAGCTCTTCACATCTGATGAATCGATGCGGGTCTGACCCTTGCCTCTGCTTTGCTGTCTCCTCCTGCTCTCCGCTTCTTCCTCTCTCGGTCCAGGCGTGGGCAAGACCTCCTTTGCCATTCGCTACGTCAACGAGACCTTTGAGCAAACGACCCTTAATGCGAACCAGGAAATGGTGCGGCCTTGACTTTGATCAACCTGGTTCTGTGCACCTGCTCAAGTAACTCATGACCATCTCCGTCCGTTGTAGTTTATCAAGCCCATGACCGTAGATGGACAGGAGCGCACTCTCTTGTTGTGGGACACGGTTGGCCAGGAGCGCTTCCGGTGCGTTGCCAGACCTGAGAGCGAGCTGCTTTGTATTTGGGGGACCCGGAAGAATGATGGCCAAATGCTTTTGCTTGGTCCGGCCACTCACGCCTTCCGTGTTCCTCCTCCCTTTGTTCGGGTCTCTCCTTGCCCCCGGGCGTTAACCTCGAGCAGAACCATCACAGCCGGGTTTTACCGGCAAGCACACATCGCCTTGGTGATGTACGCTGTTGATTCACCGGTTGGTTCTTGCCGCCCGCTTGCCCGCTTGCCCGCTTTCCTTTCACATTTACTCGGCTTTTCCCCCCACGCTGGTGCCGTGCATGCCGCACTGGATCGCCCATGCCTATGCGCCTGATATCTTACCCCCTTCAATTCTTCGGGCCAACGGCCCTGCTGGTCCGAAACAATAGGACTCGTTTCACACCGCGCGCCAATGGCACGATGAAGTCAAGAATTTTGGCGACAGCGGCGTTTGTGTCGTCTTGGTGGGCAACAAGACCGACCTGCCGCGTCTCGTATCCACAGAGGAGGGCAGTGCATTGGCCAAGGACCTACAAGTGGCCTTTTGTGAAGTCTCAGCTAAAACAGGCGACTCCGTGGACGCAGCTCTCAAAGCTGTTTTGCCGGGCGTCCTCAGGTAAGCGGCATCCTCTTTATGCCTGCATGTCTGTGGGAGCTGGATGAGCCACCCTCTCTTGGCTGTGGATCGTGTTGGTTTCTGTTGCCTCATGCCTTGCCCGGTCCTTCGACTGCTCTGGTGCATTGGCAGCCGGCGCCCAAAACAGAAAGCCGGTGGTGCTGTTTCGATAAAGAAGCAGAGTGCATCGCGTGGTAGTGCGCGCAGCCTCTGCACGGTTCTGTGAACCCTGCCCTTTCCACCCGCTCCCGATTTACGTTTGCGCCATTTGGGCTTTGAGCGCACTGCAACACTTGCTATCACCCTCAAAACTTGTTCTCCGTGCTGTATCTTGTCTGTTTTTCTCGCTATGCGCCAGTCATGTGCGTCGTGCTCCCCCAATCAATCATACCAATGCCTGCCCAGCCGTGTCAAGAGGTCAGATTCCTTATGAAGAGAGAGAGAGATGAACAGAGAGATCTAGAAATCCTTGTCATTGTCAGAAAATCGCCAACCAACGGCAGAAAACGGTCGTGTGTGTGTGTGTGTGTGTGTTTTTGCGCTGGCGCGCGACCCGTGCCTGTGGCGCCGATGTTGGGCGGCACTTTGGGAGCAGAGGACACCGCAGATGTGTCGATGCGATGGAGCTGAGCATAAAGCCTGCCAAGCAACTGGCTCTGCCCTCGAGCTATGAGCAGCTCTTGGAGACGTATCGTACACTTGATAAGGTCGGGCTGCCTCTCATCACGTTTGCCTGCCTCTGCTGGCTCAGTTCCAGGCGCTAAAAAATTGCAAAGTCTTAAGGCTCATCATGCACTCCAAACCTCATCACCTTAGACATGGGTGTTCTTGGCTCGGCAAAAGATTCCGCGCTCTCTTAGCACGCTGACCCAGGCTGCAGGCGTCAACCAGGATGACGTCATGCGCCTCGCTGCGGGTGTGTCCCCATTTGTTTGACTGTGACCGGTGTCATCTGCTGGCTTGCATGCACAAAACCTGCTCATTGACATCTCTTCCGCTTCAGTGGCACCAGACATTGTCAAAGTGTCATGGCTTCAAACCATCCGCAACGACGCCGATGATCTCTTTGCCAAGCGTCATGTCGACGAGCCCGTGGCCCGCCAAGTGCGATCCCGGTTTGGCTTTTTGACGACCTCTACCGGCTGTTTTGTGGCCGCCCACTCATGCTTGCTCTTTGGGGGATGGGGCGTGTTTAATGCTAGCGCTTTCTGCAAGTGGTCCTCGATGGCAAACCCGCTACTACGGCCAGTGCAGCGCGTCGTCGGGCGGATATGCTCCGTCAACGACTGCAACGACATGTTCTGCACCAACTGAACGAATGCCTTGGTCACACCCACCCACTTCCTGGTACGTGCGTGACCCATTGCCGACCACAACCAATCTGGCTCGATGCGCTCGGCCTTGTGCAGTGCCTCACGACACACGTGCTGTGCAGCCCGGAAAACATTGGCCGCTTGGCCCGAGCCTTGGTTGAGCAAGCTGCCTTCGCTTCCCTTGCCATCGCCCCTGCCCCTACCGACCGAGGTTAGGTTGTGGTCCGTCACCCCTCGCAAGTTTTGGGCTGTTTCGTTTCACTCCTTACCTCCCCAGGTCGAGCACTAACCCTTTTATCTGGACTGCGTGCCAGCCGGGTGCTGAGGCGCCCATTCATAGAGATCCACGCCACAGGTACTACATCAACTATACGGGAGAAGCAAGCAGCGAGCCGATGACCCACGCTCAATTTGACCCGCAGGTACTCAGTATCGGCAGACCCCCGAATGCAGCCCCAAACCATTTGATGATACTCGCCATCGAGAACTGACCGACCAACTGCCTGTGGCCTGGCTCGACGTAGAAAACATTGGACCGCTTGCTCAAACTTCCCCTGGCCAAGGTAAGGCTCGCTCTACGCCACACCATCTTCTCTTGTCATGACCCCGTTCCGACAACGCAACGATAGACTGGCCTTGGCGCTGACACCCTTTGTCTGTGCTCCTCCGCCCGGACTGTTTTTTTTCTCCCTTTTTCAGGGCCAAGTGGTCCACATTGAACGGATACCACCACGCCATCCCACCTATGCCCCACTGGACACGCCTCTGCCAGCCGACTTGGCAGCAACACTTCGAGCTCTGGGCACACACCAATTGTTTGCCCACCAGGTGAGTCGATGGGCCTCCATGATCATCTTGCAGCCGAATGCTGTGCGCATCATTTTTTTTTTTTTGTTTTCATTTTTTGGGGGGGTGCAAATGGGCGTGTTTAGGCGCAAGCCATCAATGCCGCACGGCGCGGCTCCCACGTTGTGATTTCTACCGCCACTTCTTCTGGTATACAGTGGTTGTCTGCGCTTGCAGTTGCCCATTGCATGGTTTTCGTCTTTGTGGATTTCAACTCACGTCGTCGCTCCCACGGTGTCTTGTGTCACTCCGACTTTTAGGCAAGTCGCTCGTGTATCAGGTGCCAGTTTTGGAGCAGCTCCTCGAGAATGATACGGACAATGTGGCGCTCTACATGTTTCCCACCAAGGCCTTGGCCCAGGATCAACTACGCAGCCTCTCCAACTATACGGGTGCTGGCTGGCTTGGGGACGTGGTGCGAGCTGCTACTCTTGATGCGGATACTTCTCAATCACAACGCGAAGACATTCGGCAAACCGGCAACATTATTCTCACCAATCCCGACATGCTTCACGTGACTTTGCTCGCCCGCCATGAACGCTGGTGTCGGTGAGTATCCTCCAAGCCTTTTCTTCCTTACCGCTGCATCTGCCTTTGTTGTTCTTGTATGCGTGCGCGCGTGACCGTGTGTGTGTGTGAGTGTGTGTGTGGACCGCTTCCTTAATCTGGTTCCGAGAAAAAGGCTGCGCCTTTGGTTGCGGCACTGATTGCACGCATCCAGTGCTGGCACATCCAATGCTAGTCTTTGCCCCTTCTATTCCAATGAAATTGTGCCTCTGTCCTTGTATGGTGCTTAGGCTATTTCGCACGCTGCGCTACGTTGTTCTGGATGAGGCACACACCTATCGAGGTGTCTTTGGTTCACACGTTGCTTGTGTAATGCGACGTTTACTGCGCATTTGCTCGCTCTACCGCAATGATCGAGTTCAATTCATCTGCTGCTCAGCCACGCTGGCCAATCCGGGCTTTCACTTCCGTCAGCTAGTTCCCTTGTACGGAATGCAGTCCCGAGAACTTTGCGTGGTGCAGAAAGATGGCAGCCCAAGTGGTGAACGTCTTTTTGCTTTGTGGAATCCAACTCTGGACCGCGCCGCCGTGGAAGATGGCGCAGTTCAACCTACACAGAAACCGCCCTCTTCCAGCGCCAAATCAGCCGCCTCTGGACCCAATGTCAAAAGTCCCAAAGGTGTGTGTGTGTGTGTGTGTGTGTGTGTGTGTGTGTGTGTGTGTGTGTGTGTGTGTGTGTGTGTGTGTGTGTGTGTGTGTGTGTGTGTGTGTGTGTGTGTGTGTGTGTGTGTGTGTGTGACCTTCTTCTTGACGCCGTGGCAGGGTCTTGATTTCAAGATCAACAGCGCTGATACTGCTGTCTCATTGCGCTTTCACATCGCATGGACCTATGGGCACAGCTGTCCGCGCGCACATTCGTCGACTCTCTCACGGTCGAAAGGCCCAACGCTCCACCCTCGTCTCGTTGTTCCAAACGCAAGAAGAGGACACGCTTAAGCGCCCTGCAAAATCCCGTGCTCAGCCGCTACCGGCAGCAGCTGCCGACTCTGAGAATGACAGCGATGCTGAGCTCGATGCAGCCATGGACGAGTTTGATGCGGCCATGGCAGGTCACATTGCTCATGACCCCGGACGCGCCGCAACGCCACCGCCAACTGTCGCGCCGCCGACTGATGCGATGCCCATTGCCGGTGCACCTGCAAAGGGGTCGCCGCGCCGTGCCGGCAAACGCGTGGGACACAACGAGACCTCGACCCCCCACTCACCCCACGTCAAGGTCGCAAAGTTTAAGGAGGAAGATAGCAAGATCACCAGCCCCATTCTCGAGACGGCCCTTTTGCTGTCTGCACTGACCAAGATGGGCGTGCGCACGCTCACTTTCTCACGTGTGCGCAAGGTCTCTGAACTCATTCTCAAATACACGCGACGCGACCTTCGTCTCACGGCCCCGCATTTGCAGGGCAAGGTCCAGGCATATCGAGCCGGCTACACCAAGGAGACTCGTCGTCAGATTGAGCGCCAGCTTTTCAACGGCGAGCTTCTCGGCACCACGGCCACAAACGCTCTAGAACTGGGCGTGGACATTGGAAGTCTAGACGTAACCCTCCTGTTGGGATTTCCTAGCTCAGTGGCTAGTATGTGGCAGCAGGCAGGCCGAGCAGGCCGAGGCACGAACAAGGCCCTCACCATAATCGTACTCTTCAACTCGGCACTGGATCAATACTATGCGCGTCATGGCCCAGAGCTCTTTCAGCGGCCGACGGAAGCCGCCATTTCTGACCCGGATAATCCGTATGTGCTGCGCGAGCACCTGCTGTGCGCAGCCGCCGAGCTGCCCTTACGTTTGTCCCGTGAGGACGTGCAGCGCCTTCGCGCCGCTGTCAGTGCTGTTTTAGGTCCTGGGGTTCAGCTGGCCTCGGAAGCTGCGGTTGTTGAGGCTGCGCGACAGCACATTGGTCTACTACCGACCGCTGTCGTGGCCGAATGCCAGGATTTACTGCTCTTTGGCGAGACGGCAGGCGATTTAGCGCACGCGCTCACCTCGGACGGGCTGCTTCAACTACAAAGCCCGGGTTACGTGCTGCCACAGCGCGATATTCATCCGGCTGCAAACATCAGCCTGCGCACGATTGAGGAAGATGGTTATGATGTCGTTGTGACCCCGGATATGCGCAAGATTGACGAGGTTGACGCCCGGCACGCCCTCTTTGAAACGTACCAAGGCGCCATCTTTTTACATCGGGGTCAGACCTACCTTGTCACTTTTCTGGATCATGATAATCGCCAAGCCCATGTGCAGCCGGTCACCGTTGACTACTTCACAAAGCCGTCGGACCGGTCTGACGTCGATGTCATCAGCGCCTTTCGCAAGCGTCAGCCGCCGCTACAAGCCGCTTGGGGCACTGTTCAGGTCAAGATTGAAATTTATGGCTATCAGAAAATTAGAGAACGAACTCTGGAACTGTTCGATACTGTGGAGCTGGAAGCCGAACCTGTCGAGTACAAGACTCGTGGGGTTTGGCTCGATATTAATCCAGCTACCAAGGCACGTCAAGTCAACGGCGCATCGCCTGCCTTTGTGGCGCCAGCTACCATAATATTATATTAACCAAGGGCGCGCACGACCTGTCCCTCGTACCGTCCCTCACCACGCCCATATGAACTGTGTGTCCACAGATGGAATTGCTGTCCCGCGATATGGACGACTTGTCCTGCATCCATGCAGCCGCACACGCTATTAAAAATAGGTTAATTGACCTGGCTTACTCCCCCCCCCCCCCCTCCCCCTCCTCCCCTGCTCGCGCGCGCGCACTTGATGCGAGCAAGACTGACTGGCCTCACTCACTCGTCTTTGCAGCATTCCATTCCACATCTTGTGTGATGCGACCGACGTTGATTCGGAGCATGTCGCCGAGAAGCAACAGCGAGGCCGGTACGAATCGGATTGCACGCTGCGTTGTGTTGGCGCATGGTGCAGCCAGACTCATTTGCTCAAGTTTCATGGGGTTGTCGAGCTAGGCCATTTCGGATTGTACTGTACGACGCTCGGCCAGGTGGCATTGGCATTTGTTATGCCGTCCTTGAAATGATGACACAGGTCTGCACCTATTGAGATTTCCTTGCCAATCTTTTCCTTCTCTTTGGACTTGTTGCTTGATTGTGGATTTTACCCCATGATCGACGCGTTTGCCCTGCAGATCTTAGCCACGGCATTACGGCTGGTGGAAGAATGCCCGTGTCACAACGGCTGTCCCAAGTGCATTCACGACTGGAACTGCTCGGAGCATAACGTGCGCCTCGACAAAGACGGCGCCCGGCTTATTTTGCAGGTGCGCCATACGTGTCGCGGAGAGAAGGGCTCACGGTGAATTCAAACTATGCGGGCAGCAATGGTGACGCCTGGCAATTGTCAAGGCGCGGCCAAAGAGGAGGCAGAATGAAGTTATAGAGGAGACAAAAAGAGATGGGGTACTTCGCTCAGCGAGGCATCGTCTTTGATCCCCTTATCTGGTTGATCTCTGCCCCCATGCATGCACACAGAGCCTCAATCGGGACGCGAATCAGAGTCCAACCCGGAGTGTGGTACCATTTTCGAGCGCCATGCCCGGGCCGAGCGGCGAGAGGGCCTCATTTAACGGCTCCGACCAAGAGTTTGTCTAGTCGGTCGCCATCTGTGCTCACAACTAGCACACAGTACAGTTTGCGTCAACAGACTGGAATTTAGACAGCGCTGGCGTTGGTATGGGTGCGGGACCGCCCGCCTGCGAGCTCAACGCTCGCTCCCGTCGCACGTCGTTGGTCGGATCCCCAGGTATTGGAGCGACTGGGAGGGTTGCTAATGCTGATGGGGCCACCAGACAAATTGACATGCTCGCTTCCTGGACGCTCAGCCATGGGCTGAATCACGACGCTGGCCATGTCATTGGCGATTTGAGAAACACCCAGAGGCCCGTCCTCGCTATGGTCGCTTTGGTGCTCGCTGATGGGCCCAGCGAGTTGAATGGTGTTTTTGTTCGTGGGATCATCGTCTGCAAATTGTCGCCGGTACTGGTACCGATAAGATACGCCACGCACGTGGCCAATGGCAAAAAGGGCAGCATAAAAGGCTAGGGTGGCCAGCACGACGGCAACAGTAAACCCCATCACCTTTGTATCGTTTTGATCATCCGTGTCTCGAGACCGCGCTGCGCCTGGAGTTGGGCTTGCCATGGCGGGCGTGGTAGCGGGCGCGGTCGGCGGGGAAGATGAGGTCAGGGTGACGGTTTGGAGGCCCTCTAGACCATCCACTCCCTGCAGCAGCGTTAGCAGCTCAGCCCAGGGCAAAGTCGTCAGGCGGTCGTCCAATGTGGCAGCACGAAAGTTGGGGCTGCCGCTGCCAATGGTATCGATGAGCACAGTCAGCATACAAAGTGTAGCGGGCGTTGATGGTTCGACAGCCGTGCCACTGCGCCGACGCGCCTCCGTGATGGTGGGTGCTTGAGTGGCGAGCGTGGCAGGAGGGCGCACCGCTTCCAGGGTCAGCCAAACGTGGCGGGCCAATCCCTGAAGGACGTCAGTAGCCACGAGAGCCTGCAGGTCGTCTTGAGCGGCAGTGGCCTGTGCCAAGCTGACATTGACGAGCAGTAGGTAGTGGGTGATGTTGATGGCACGGACGGGATGACATGCGCAGGCGGCAGTGTTGGTGGAGTCGGTGCAGACGTAGGAAGCGTTTTGTTCGACGGGCGTTTGGGTGCTATCATTCGGCGAAACGCACGTCAGATAAAACGTGCTGTTTCCCTGCAGCGTGAGATGGTCTGGCAAGCAGGCCACGGGAATTTCTTCACCCGAGCTTCGTGCTACAGCCGCAGGCAGGTCTGCAGTTGTGTCGGTTAAAGGGCGAGCGGCGGGTACACCGCAGGTGGAGCAGCTGAACGGGGCAAAACCAGTGAGGGGAGGACAGTCAAAGCCAAATCCGGAGCCCTGATTAAGCTGGAGGCTGCTAAGGGCTGGAATGGCAATGAGCGGGGGCAGGGGGCCAAAGAGCATGTTGCCGTCGACGCGCAGCGCCTGCAAGGCGCTGCCCTGCAGCTCATCGGTGGAGGGACCCGGGCTGGAGACCAAGAAACCACGCAAGCGATTGTTATGCAGCTCGAGCGTTGTAAGGCTGGGGGCGGCCTCAGAGAGCCACGCGGTCGACAGCTGGCCAGTGAGGTGGTTGTTGCCAAGTTTGAGAACGCGCAGCTGGGGTAGGAGTGTCACCAGGGCAGGGTCGGCCAGGCTGCTGTTCAGCTGGTTTTGGCTCAGGTCGAGTCTACAGCAGGCATGCGACGACAGCCGTGTACCATTAGTATGAATCGAACGCGGCAAATCAAACAAGAGTAAGGACAAAAGTCTGAGCAAGCAAATCTGAAGGAAAACCCTCACGGCGACGAAAAAAAAAAAACTTACTCGCGAAGGGTGCTGATAGCGGCTAGAGCTGGAGGGAAGGGCCCGGTCAAGTGAGCGGCCACAGCAGTCAATGTCTCGAGGGCGGGAAGATTGGCCAAGGCAGCAGGCAGGCCCGTAGCGACGCCCGGTGTCGATGCAAGGGGGCCAGGCAGGATAATGTCCTGCACTCGAGCCAAAGGCGGCGTGGGCTGTGAGCAGGTGACCCCTGTCCATGCGCAGTAGTTGTCATCACTCCAGACGCTGGCGTCGAGCAGGGACTGGCGCAGAGCGAGCATGGCGTCGCGCTCCGACGTCGAGACACAGAGGGCATTCTGGCGCGCGGTGCAGTCCCGAATGGCGGTTGTTCCCGCACCGCAAGTTCCGCAGCGCTGGCAGGCGGCACCATCGCTGGTCGCTTTGAAAAACCCAGTCCCACAGGTTTGGCAATAGGCGTTGCTGACGTCTTCGCCCTCGCAGATATCACTGCCAGAAAGACCCTCGCCGGCGGGGCACGCAACTTCACAGGGGGTGCATTGAGTACACTGACCCCCGCCATCACGGGCGGCGCACCCACAGTCAAAGGTGAGATTGAAGAGCGCGCGGTAGGCGGAGCCGTTCACCGTGGCAAAGACGCGTAGCTGAACAATGTGAGGCCCAGAGGTTGACAGGGCGCGCGGCGCCGGCGCTGCCCAAACGGGCGGAGTAGCATCGGCATAGGGAATGCCAGTTCCACAAGATTTGGCCCCTTGCAACTGGCCCGGACCAGCAAGCAAGGCGACCTGTAGGCCGGCCACGTCCAGAGCCTGGCCCGAGGATACCTCGTGCGCCTCAAGCGCGAGCGTATAGCTTTCATCAGGCAAAAACAGGCGGTTGTGGGCGGGACCAGCCCCGTGCTGCGCCACCAAGCTGACGTTCCATGCGGCTGAAGCCTGTGGCGTCGGATCGCACACATCTGCTTGCACCACAACTGGCTGGAGAACCGCCAGGCTCAAGACCAAAAGCGGCCACGCCCACCCAACGATTCGGCCGCACGATCGAACCGGCATGATGCCAGTGTCCGCCCCCGGATCCGTCCACAACACGCACCAACAGCAGCAATGTCAATATGAGAATCAAGTCCGGACCCAGTCCAGCCCGCCACCATTCACACTCTCCTCCCCCGCCACCTCCACCTCCTCCTCCTCCGTCGCCGCCTCTGCTGTCTCGTCTTCTTCGCCTCGAAAGCACACACGCACACGCACTCACACACACACACACACTCTCTCTCTCTCAAATTTCAAAATGAATACACCCCTTTTAATTCATACAAAAGTTTTATCTAACTATGACACCTGGGAAATTAAATTTTGAACCGAGGGTCACGGTCACTCATCGAGGGTTTGCACAACATCCCCAAAGTCCAACCCATTTACACTTTGATGTCTGGGTCCTGTTTTCTTAAAGTGTGTTGTGAGATACACTCAAGCAGGCTGTGTCAGACGCCCAAAACCTAGAGGACAGAATCAAGCAAACGGTGGGATAGTTTTTCATCCCTACCGATGACAGGGGACACTCACCGCCTTCTCGTTGCCTTGAATCAACAAAGCTTCGCCCCTCCCAAACGCCACTCAGCGTGAGCGTGGCTGGAAGCCTGATGTTGCATCTGCGTTGACTTGTTGAACGCGAACCCCCGCACTCCCCTCCTCCTTTCAGTCCGGCTTTCCTCTGCAAGCTCCGAAAACTGGGGCTCGAGCACAGGCGAAATGACAGCTCCCCCAAATACGCGTTGTGAGGGAGCAGAACCCATCAGCGGATCGCAGTTCCCAACAGAGAGCGCGCACACACACTCACACACTCACACACTCACACACTCACACACACACACACACGCTTGAAGGCTTTCTTTCTGGTACCCTGGATTGGACAGGCTCAAAAAACCTGTGCTTCACGCATACACAGGGGCCATGGCGATCCTGCGCCACCCCGCTCTGGTTGTCCTGGTTCTTCTCGCGTGCATCAAAATGGCTGCGGCGCACGGTATGTACACGCACTGCCCCTTTCCGCTCTCTTGCACCGACGGCTGCCACATATGACGCCAGACTGCCGGTGACTAACGCTTTGGTTGACATGTCCATGTCAATTAGAATTCTTAATCGTCATTCATTCAGTTGGCCTGGCTTACAACGCCTCAATCCTGAGCGACGCTGCCGAATACACGGCAGACCTGAACCAGCCCGCTCAACTTCTCCTGGACCCCTTTTTCCGCCTTGACGCATCAGATCCCAACGCACCGCCGCTGTGGTCCAGTGCCATCAACCCCCAGCAGGCACCAGCCCCATCTCGCCTTGCGCTTCCTGCCCTGGACCTCGTGTGGCGCACCAACGACGACAACCTCACCTTCTCCGTCTGGGACGACGATCAGGGTGATGCGAACCATCACGCCTTTGACCGCAGCTTCATGGCCAGTGACCATCTGTTCAGCACGCACCTTCGACTGTCGCCGCTCAACCCCGCTTTGCAGGTGCAACTCAATGCCAGCACCAAAGCCCTCACTCTGAGCCTCAACTACAGTGCCTGGCCCTGCGCATGCCAGTCTTCCGGAGGCTCTTGCATTCGCGGCAACGACGACCCGGCTAACGTCGCTTGCCAATGCCCCCACGGTCATTATTCCCACTCGGATCTTCATGGCCGGCCCACCTGCCAGCCTTGGGCGCAGTGCCTTGCCGGTCAAGTCGAAGTGCAGGCCCCGTCCCCATTTATCGATCGTCAATGTGCAGCTTGCGGCCCAGGCCAAGCATGCCCCACGCCGCTGCCCGCCACAACCCGAGACTGCCTCGCTCAGGATCGCCTTTATGCTACCGGAAACGCCACCATCTGTGCCATTGACCCTCGATCCGGTGGCCACTATCTGCAGACCGATGCGCATGGTCGAGGCGTGGTACGCCTTCCCTGCCCGACCAAGAGCTTTTGCCCACCTGGCGCTCTGTGCCTGGACGCCTGCATCTCTTGCCAAGAATGTGGTGACAGCTTTTCCCAAGCCAGTGCCTGCTCGGCCACCAGCAACGCCGTCTGCGAGCCCGAAACGACATTTTGCAATAACCTTGACTGTGGTGACGAAGAGTGCCTCGGCGCCATCATCTTTGTGCGCGAAGCTCGCTGCGAGTGCCCCGATGGTCAGACCTGGAACTCCACGTACCGCCGGTGTATCTCTGACGCAACCCCCTGCAATTTTGGCATCACCGTCTGTGGACAAGCCTCCTGCCAAGCTCAGGGCGCCAGCTTTAGCTGTCACTGCCCCAAAGGTCTGACTTTTGATGGTCAAGGTGCCTGCATTGATCAAGAAGATACCTGTACCCCAGCTTCATGTACCGTCAGTGAGGATACTGCCTGCGTCGATCTAGCAGAGGCCCCCATGTGCCGTTGCGACGCCCTGAGTCACGGCACCTCGTGTGAGCACGACCTGCAGCCCTGCCAGCTCGATGGCAAACCTACTTGCTCCCACAATGCCAGTTGCTCTTACTCGGGCGTCTTCAACGAGGAGGCCAGCGCCCTTTCCGTGCAGGATCTGATGTGTGCTTGCGAAGAATCAGGCTTTGCTGGGTCTCATTGCACCCTCGACGTGGATGAGTGTGCTCTGCAACCCTGTGGACTACATGGCACCTGCATCAATCTGCCTGGCGGCTTCACTTGCAACTGTGACCCGGGGTATGACCAGCCCTGGGAGAACGCACCATGCTCCGACGTTTCGAGCCCCAACATCACGCTGGACAACGCGTTCTTTTCCATTGATATTGCAGACGGATTGTCGGTCAGCTCAGTCTTACGCCTTACCCGGCCTCATGTGTCAGACAACAGCGGCGTGGTCCCGGCCTTGGAGGTGGTGGTCCCTCTTAATATGACGGCCAACTCCAACGTAACAGTGACTCTGCGCGCCGTTGACGAGACGGGAAACAGTGCCACCCAGCTCGTGATCGTGCGGGTGCTCGATCTCTCCGCCCCCCTGTTGACATTACGAGCCGAGCCAGCGAACCAACACCCCGTCCAGACTGCATTTGTGGCGCCCACGGCCATGGCTCAGGACGCCGTCGATGGGCCGTGCCCCGTCACCCTCGTCAATTCGGTTGACAGCAACCGATTGGGCTGCTATGACCTCATCTGGTCTGCGCAAGATCAAGCAGGCAACCGAGTCAAGCTTTCGCGACAGGTTTGCGTTGTCGATCGGATTCCGCCAACCTTGGACATTCAAGTCTCCTCGGTACCCCACCGTGTTCCCGTGGGGTCCACCTTTGCACCGCCCAGCGTTGTGGTTCAAGACAATTACGACGCCAGCGCTAGTCTCGAGCAGTGGCGGGTCCCAAATACGATCGACACCCGTGCTGAGCCCGGCTCTGAGGCACTCCTCACCTACTTTGCACGAGACGCCAGCAACAACACCGGCAACGCCACGCTACGCCTGCTCTTTGTGGATATTGAGGGACCTGTCATTACATACAATGAGCAACCCGTGTCGCGCGCCACTCAAACCGTTGCGTTTGGCACACCACTTCGGGGCTTGCCCATTGGCATCAACGACAACGCCGACCTGAACCCACGGTGGAGCGCCAGTGGGTATAGCCGCTGCACAGCGGGCCTGCAAACCCTTCGCATCAACGCAAGCGATGCCTCAGACAACGTTGTTCTGGCTTATGTTGACCTGGACGTCACCAGCCCCTCAAGCAGTTACATGACTCAAGACTTGGTGCAGGCCAGTTGGAAAGACGAGAATGTTGACAAGACCCGAGTACCACTTCTCTTGCAAACAGTTGTGCCGGACCTTTGCGTGCAGCTCGTCTCGTCTGGTACAGATCACGTTGTTGCTGCCTTTTACGACACCCATCGCCAAGACTGGCTCGAGGCCTCCATTGCAATCGACCGTGTGGCTAATGGTACGCACAATATCTCGACAGCTGGTACCAACGCAGATGGAAGCGGAGTGGTGTCCGTGGAACAGATGTCCACGCCGACCTCCATCCAGCTGGGTGGCATAACACTTGAGCTCGTGGCCTATGCCGGTCTGTCGAATGGCAACGGAGATAATGAGACGACCTCGCCGACTTCGTCGGCTGGGTCCATCGCGCTTGTAGCCGGTGTGGGTGCCGGCGCGGTGCTACTCTTGGCTCTAACCATCACCGCTGTTGTGTTCTGGCGGCGCGTGCACCAGCGACGTAAGCGTGACGCCGTACGCACGCGCTCAATGGCGGAAGCTGACATGAGCAAATTTGAGTTTCACAACATGCGCCACATGGCTGATCTGCCGGGTGGGCGGATTCCAGCATCTTTTCATAGCGTTGACTCAAACGTAACCTCTCTGCCCCACGATGATCGCGTCTATGCCACCATCTCCGTCACGGAGCGCTCTGCGCAGACGTTGGCTCAACATGCTGAAAACTATTATTCAGAGATTGGTGACAACACCCTAGACAGCAGCCAATATTGCGTCCCTGTGCCCCTTCCCGATGGCCATCTCTATGCCAGCCACTTGACTATCAACGCCAAGGCCATGGATGTCAACTTAAAGCGGAGTGGGTCAGAGATGCAGGTCCCAACTTACATTTCTCGGCCACGAGATATTGGCGCGCCTGTGCCCGTGCCTATCTACGATGAGTTGGGCCAGGTTCTCAGCTATCAGCTGCGAGCAGGCTCGGAGCACGGTGGCATGCACATTTATGTTGCGCCCGTGCGCGACCCGGCAACTAGCCCACGCGTCCCTTTTTATGATGAGCTGGGCAACGTGGTTGGTGAGACAACCTTGCCACCACTCAACCAGGTAGAAGTATCGTCCCAACAGCCTGTGAGGGGATTTGTGCAGACCCCTTCCACCGCAGCTGATGGCTTTCAGAGCCTCACTTTTACCTCCTTCGCCTCGAGCACGGGCATTATCTCGATGCCTCCCAGCATTGCACGCCGCGCTGCCGCACTCAATCCGAGCAATGACGCCGGGACTAGCCCGCGTCTGGCATGGCAAGAGAGCATTCAATCGGGCAGTTATGGGTTTGAACTGTCACGCAGATCCTCGAGACTATCTGCACAGCACCATGCGGTCACTCAACGCGGAGTGCCGGGCAACGCTGACCTTGAGGAAGATGCAAGCCAAGCATCATTATCAGCGGCTGCCGTTGATTTGATGGAAGCCACTGCACGCCCCTCTAGTAACAATGAGCCCAAAGATCGCGACGATGGCGAGTATCTGCGTGTTGACGGCATTGTTGGTACGGAGGAGCCGAGCGATGCCCTTGACCGTAATATGCTCGCTGCGCTGGAACCCCGCTCTGGAATGCCTTCGCCTCCGCCGCCTTCAGCCGCTTCGGCCCCATCAACAGACGCGACTCTGTCAAAAATCTTTACGGTGCACACCATGAGTGGAGTGGATGCTGAGGTGAAGCTAGCAGACGCAGCGCCGGGCACGTACCTTCTGCGCCTCGTCGTAGGGGGTATCACATCCCAGGTATGATTGTCGATCGTTCATGCAGGAAGATCAATCGGGCTTCTGACCTGCGCCAGCAATACCAAAACATGTCTTTTCACCCTTGTTGCCCGCATCGCCGGACTGTGCGCCCATAGTCTTGCGATTTGTGCGTGCGAGGCGCAGACACTTTCACACACCATGCTCTTTATTTCACAAAGGAGCAAGCAATGTACTTTTTAGATGGCACAGTTGGCTCTACTTCTGTCACCTCCTTGGATGAGGCGATGCTAGACATTCTTAAAGCTAACCCTAGCACCTTTATCCAGCAATGGCAGCGCGGCGACCCGGCTTTATCACTCATGCAGGCCCCGCACGAGGATTAAACGAGTCGCCTGGAAGTGTGCGTCCCGAACAAGCATGCAAACTTGTCAAAAAGAACTTACTCTGCGAGCTTGCAAAAGCGTCAGCAAGAACCATGCATACTTCTGCGAGAGCATGTCGTTGGCCTGCAGCCATAAGCCTGCTTGTCTCCCTTCATGATTGAATAACTCGCTGTTCTATCGCAGCGCTCCGTGAAAGATGAATAAATGCAACCTGTTTTTCAGTCAACTAATTGATTGTAATTGCACAGCGGCACTGATTGATGCACCTTGCATCTCACTCTCAAAGCCACACATGGAGAACCAGCTGCGCGTGCGCAGGTCAGGTTAGCAAGGTATCTCTACCGCGCTGGACAAATGAATATGGCATCCAGTAATGGCCGCTCGGCAAATACCAGTCTTGCAAACTGCACGGCTGCTCAATCGAAAAGTCAGTTAGCTATTCAAAGCTCCAGGCGCGTCGTTCGGAAGCAAGCGAGAACGAAGGTTATCCCGCTCCGGCTGTTCTCCGTGTGAGCCAAATACGCGCACCAAGACCCAGCGTAGTAAAGGAGCCGCCAGCAACACCAACATTGTCAACCTGAAGAGTCGAGAGGTGGAATACAGCAGCCATCAATAGAGGTACACAAACTGTGTGGCCCATCGTTGAAAAAAAACAAATACCGCCAAAGTGGCTTACCAATGTGCCCATGAGAGGCCCAGCGCAATAAGGCCGCAGAGAGGCATGGCCATAACTCCGAGCGTAAAGTTGTCCAGATCTGTATATAGAGACACAAACTCGGTTTGAAACACACGGGCGGGCGCACGATGAAGACAGCAGAGCAAATGGAAGCTTGCTCTGCGACATGAACAGCACAACCAGCAGCTCACTGACCTTGGCGCCGTGATTGCGGGTTGAGCACGCCGACGTTTGTGTAACGGCACAGAACCCAGGTGATAACCTGCAATAGCCCACCTATGGTGGTAAAAGCGCTCAGAAGACGGGTCGAGAGCTCTCTGGGGACAGAAAAAATAGAAATTGTAGTGGTGCTTGAGTCATAGACGAAGGTCTGGCCAAGCTGTGGGCGCTTGGAAGGTTATCAAATCAAAAGCTGTGGGCGCTTGGAAGGATATCAAATCAAAATACTGACTTGACCGAATCGCCACCATGCTGCAGAATGGCATAGGAGAAGAAGGAGGCAGTAAAGGGCAAAGCCAACAACCAAGCAAGCTGAAAATAGAGCGCATAAGCCATCGTATCTACCACAACATTGCCACAGTGCATGAGCACGTTGTTACTGGCTTTATAGAGGCACTTGCGCAGAAGCGAAGGCAAGTTTCAGAGCTAAGAAGTCAAGACGGCACCACCGCACCATGTAGAGACTTGAGATGGGCAACGAGCGCGACGTTGTTGAGATAGAACGAAGCAGCAATATAAAAGCTTATGAAGTAAGCCATGAGCACAGAGACCTACAAATGCGCGCCAAAATGAGCAGACAGTGTGGGAGAAGGACCAAGTGTTCATTTGGATCTGGTGCACGAGTGACCAACCTGCTTGAGGGCGCCGTGATGAGCAGCAAAGAACTGATCCGAATCGAGGCTCAACGCCAAGATGCTTCCAATGATCGAATACACCGCATCTCGAAAAAGCTCATAGCGTTTTTTGTCGAAATTGACACGCTAAGCAAAAGCCGAGGCGGTGGTGGTGGTGGTGGCGAAAGTCGATGACTGAACATACCAATAATCAAAAGAGAGACTGGAGCGCAAGTAAGAACTGCCAACGGGCGGGGGCGCACCTCAAAGTGTGAAGCTGGAATGAGACCAACTTGTCGGGTTATGCGATCCATCAAAAACAAGGGCAGGAGGCCAAGGACTGTGGTGATGATAGACGTGCAAGAGTGGAGGTGCGACCAGGCGCGAGCGAGTGAGGTTCATCGGTGGCACTTCGCAAGGAGGCCAGAGGGGAACTTTGTTGATCTTGTCAAAGGAAAAAAAGATATCCCCCGTTTGGCGGTTATGGCCCCCGTATCTTTCCATCCCGCTTGATCCTTCTCAAGCACCATCGCAAGCAAGGCAGAGAGGAAAAAAAAAAAGCAAAGAAATCTGAAGAACATTGACAAACAGATGGCAGACAAGTCCGTCCCACGTACGCGCTAGGGAGCCAAACACGATGGCTAATCCAAACAAAACCAGAACGAGGACAGCCTGGAATAGGACGCGGCGCACACAAATTGTGTATTCCAGCTCCACTGCAGCACGACGCCTGGCGGCAGAGTCGATGCCGGCGTCAGAGGCCATCGGACTGCTCATTGCGCCGTCTATCTGGTTTAGGGGCTGGCGTTCGCTGCCGTGGACGAGGCTCCCATTGCCTGAGGTTTCTACCAGGCCCGTAGAATTGTTTGCCTCTGTTTCGTCTGCTTCTTGGCCATCCTCATCCTCTGGCTCACTCCAGAGATTGTGGCGAGCAGCATGATGGAGAAGAAGGAGTCGAGTGATTTGGATGCAAAGCAGAGCACCCAAGATCATGCTGGCAGAGACTTTGGAGTCTTGAAGCGTCCGAATGCTGCTTCCCAAGCTGGATGCAAAGGGCAGCAAGCAAATGAAACAAAGCTCGGCGCAGTTCAAGGCTTGGATGCCCTCGTTGGCTTTCGGGATGAAGCGAAACACATAGAGGCTAAAGCGGCGTAGGAGCAGGATCAAGAAGAAGGTAGAACACGCCCATCCAAAGTAACCAAACTTGACCTGCAAAATCTCAAAGGCAGACTCGTCGTTGCCCTCTTCCTCATCGTCGATATCACTCAGGGATTCGACGCTGATTGTGGCAGCGATGGCCAAGAGGGCCTCGGCAAAGCCGATCGGAAGCTCGCTGGACACCAACATGATGCTTCCCGCCTCGGCGTGGTAAAAGAAACTAGCAATTTGCTAACCGCAAAAGCCTACGATGACAGCTATCACTCCTTGCTGCCTGCCATTCACACGCCACCCATCCTTGGATCATCGGGTGGGACCTTGGCGCTTGAACAGATTGACAAGAAGAAGAGATTAATAAGTGGCAGTGAAGCAACGTCTGTGGGACGCAGAGGTTGCAGGGCTGAGGCTGTGGGGCGCAGAGGCTGTGGGGCGCAGAGGCTGTGGGACGCAGAGGTTGCGGGACGCAGAGGTTGCGGGACGCAGAGGTTGCGGGACGCAGAGGTTGCGGGACGCAGAGGTTGCGGGACGCAGAGGTTGCGGGACGCAGAGGTTGCGGGACGCAGAGGTTGCGGGACGCAGAGGTTGCGGGACGCAGAGGTTGCGGGACGCAGAGGTTGCGGGACGCAGAGGTTGCGGGACGCAGAGGTTGCGGGGCTGAGAAAATGACCTTCTTAGCGCAAGGGCCGACTGCTCGTGTCCATGTTGTACATGTAGCTTGTCACTTTCGTTTTGTTTTTGTTATCTCTTTTTTCTTTGTTATCGATCTGACCAATTCATTTAAAAATTCAAATGAGCGAGATTGAGGTTTTTCAATTTTTCAATTTTTTTTTTCTTTTCCATTACATGTATTGGTGTGATGATCAAGGGGGGCAGGTGAGGCTTGCTGGGGGGGGTGAGCCCTTGACTTCCAACTCGTCGCCGTCCACTGGCCGATGTGACTGGCGTTGGTCCATGAGCAGGCTAGTGGGCTCGGATAGGCGCTGTATTTGGCTGAGCTGACTTGTACCTATGTCGCGTAGCGCGCTGCTTGAAGGACACGCACAAGAACCTTGACGTAGGAGACAGATAGTCATGGAAGAACCTATCGATACTAGTCCAAGGTTTGAGGTTGCCGTTCCTCGCCCGCAGCGCTATCACTCGCACTCACACACGCAGCCAAACACACGTGCACATATCCTTGCTAAACGACATCGTCTCAAACACACGCCTCACGCACTCTTGCCCTGGAACTTGCTCAATCAAGTGGACCAGATGATGCCTCCGAAGACGCGCCGCGCAGTGCCCGAACAAAGTCTCGGATCGAGTAAGTGGGTTTTTGCAGTAGCAACCCGCATCTGCTCTATGGCCCTGACTGACAGGTTTCGTGACATCCTCTCGGACTGAACTGTCCACGTGCCCCAGTTTGCAGTCGGGTTTTATGAAGCACATCCAACGACACCAGCACAAGCACAACAAGTTGCACCAAGAGTGGGAAGCAGGGCAGGAGCCAACCAAGGTCGGCCTGCTTGGCGACCATTTGCCACCTTCTTGGCCCCATTAGACCGCTCGCCCTGGCGCTGCAGCGCGTGCGCATGCCCTCATCAGGCGGGGCACGTTGTTGGCAGGTCGCAGAACGAGTTCGACGAGCCATTCCAGAACGGCAACGGGTATGGTCAAGTCGTCATGTTGAGTGCATCTGTTCCTGACATGCAACATGCAACATGCGAAGCCGGGCCAAGCCTCGGAAGCGCGCCCGTACCCTTTCTCATCTTGCTCATGCCTCTGCATTTGTACCTGCCTTTGTCGATGTTGCTATTTTAATTGGAACAATCAGGGCTCTGGCTATGCTAAACACGCCCCACCTGCTCGCCTCGCCTCGTCCATTCTTGGCAACGCCCTTGGCCGCCCACCTCGAGCTGCCCGACACGCTGAGAGCCCGGCACCCATCGCACCTTCTGCCCAATCAGTGGCCACTCGTGATGCCGATGGTACGCCACAGCAGCGCCTTTCCCTCCAAATGTGGACCGTCAAAGGATCTGCGGTCCTGCAGTTGTCCAGAGTTTATCTTGTGAACCCTCATGATATTGTGCTAACATTGCGTACCTTGCAGCGCGCAAGGCGGCCTCCCCCAGCCTTGCCCGTCGTTCACCCGCCACATCTCACACCTCAGACCTGGCAGGAGAGGATGATGCCACATCCATGGCCTCTGCGTCCTCGCCGCCCCGCAAAACGGCAGCCACCATTACACAACGCCTATCCGAGTCGACATTGAACCCAGCACGGTACATTTCCACCCCCGTGCCGCCGTGACTTGACACCCTTGGGCTTCTTCGGGTCGTTCTTTGTATTTTGTGTGCGCGTACATGCGTGTGGCTGTACGGAATCTCACCACGTTCACCCGTCCTGATGGGCCGGCACTGCGCTCTTTGCCATGATTGACTGACCTCAGGCCAGCACGGCGGAAGAAACTGCCCGCCCAGCAGCTGTACCGGCCCGGCGCTCGTACCCAAGCGTCCAGTAGTCCTGGTCTCAGCAAACCTGATAAACCTTCGATTCATGCGCGCCTCAGTGGTCGCCCAGAGCCCGCCAGCTCTACTCCTGTGGCAGAAGCACCTTCCTCGATGCCCGATCCAGAGCCTGAAGCTGTACTCCAAGTCCCTGCAGAGGAAGTGCTTATTTGCAATGTACTCCTTGATCTCGAGAACGGACAAACGGAAACGCTTGCCCTATATCGAGGCGTGCGGCTCTGGCCTTTGTGTTGTTCTTTCGCCCAGGACCACGACCTCAACCCGGACCAAACATTGGGTCTTCACACGCGTCTCAAGTTGGAATACGAACAACATGCCGGGGAGCCCGCCATGTGAAGATGAACGCATTTCTTGCCTTTTGTTGGGGACGACCAACCTTTTGATTTGAGTCATGTCGTTTTTGTTGTTTTTGTTTCGGCCTTCCTGTTCTGCCTATTAATGAGGTGGTATGGTACTTCTTGGGTCAAAGCTACGAGGCCGCGCCTCTGGCCATCCAGATGCATTGAGCATGAAGCAAACTCAAGCTTTTTTTTTTTTTTTTTTCCTTTATGAAGCAGATCAGATCCCTGTTCCGTAAGTCTCAGAGAAGGTCGTGGCGAGTGACTTTTGCTTGACCTTCCACGCAAGGCACCATGACCATGTCCACTCTTTCCCGCACAGAGGCAAGCAAATCACAAAGGTGCCATGAAATTGCGTCCAACTACACCTTTGTCGCTTTGCAACCATACCGGCTTCAACTCAAAGCCACAAGAGGAAATTAAAAAGAACATCGATGGTAGAGAATGAATAATCGAGTTTTGGAACCAGACGCCTATAGCCACACATGTCAAACCGTGGCTCAACATCACAGAAGAAGAAAACACACATCTCATGGATCAACTAACATAAACGCTGTATATTCACTTAAAGGCTTTGCTAAGGGCCGGAAGGGCTGATGCCTGTGGGAGACCCAAAGTCAAGGGTGAGCGCAGGGCCTCGCCTAGAAAAACGTGGCACTGGAAGCAAGGCGAGCGTTGCAAAGAAGAAGGCTCACCTGTGTTGAGGAAAAGCTGTCGTTCTTGCCGCCGCCAACAGCTGCCAAGGGTGGAAGCTTGGTGCTATTCGTGCCACCCATGCTAGCAGCTTTGCGGTTAAAGTATGTTTTGCGCCGGCGCTCCGAGCCTGCCGGCTTGGCTTGAGCAGGGTGACCGCCCAAAATGGTCATGCCACCTGGCGGACCATTGACAGTTCGCCGCGTGCTGACAAACCGGCCCGCAAAGCCATTGCTGCCACGGCGTTGCTGTTGCGTATCTTCGTCCTTGCGCGCCTTGCGGGTGTGCTTCCGCCCAATGTTCAGCTTGCCCTTGAGCACCGTGACCAGATCGTCTTGGGTGCCGCCTGCTGCCGTGGACGCGGAATGCTCCACCATTTCTGGGATGGCGCCATCGGCCTTGCTTGACAATCGACGACGCCCTCCATCGATGGATTGCTCGTGTTGCTGACTCTCCTTGGCACGGCGCTTGTCCGCCTCACGGAGCTGACGGAAGTAGGGATGCTTGAGGGCCTGCCGCGCCGACAGGCGAGCATCGGGATCATACTCGAGCAACCCCAGAAGGAGCGAAATGCACTCCTCTGAGGCGTGCGGCATGAGCTTGTCCAAGCCCTTGCCGGCCTTGTCGGGGAATTTCATCTTCATGTGCTGCGCGTTCTTGCGGATCTTGGCCATGACATGGCTCGGGGGTGTGCCCATGATGTCGTGGATTTTGTTGATTTGATCAAGCTCATTGGCACCTGGAAAGAGTGGGTATAGGCTGCAGGAAAAGAAAGAAAAGATGAATGAGACGAGTTCACACCACACACACACACACACACATACACCGCGCCTTCTCTCAATGAGCGCGGATGCGAGAGTCACGTACCACATGACTTCAAACATGACACAGCCGACAGACCAGAGATCCATTTTGAAACCATAGTGGCCATTGGTCAGAAGACATTCAGGAGCGCGATACCAACGCGTGGAGATGTATTCTGTAAATGGGGGCTTGGAATAAATGCCTCGACATGAGCCAAGGTCGGCCAGTTTGAGCTCTTCGCCATTGATGAGGACATTTTCTGGCTTGACGTCACGATGAAAGATGCCGTTGCGATGCATATGGTCAAGGGCCTTGAGCAGCTGATACATGTAATTCTTGACCAGGTCCTCGGGCAGATGATGGCGACGGCCTTTGATGCGTTCATAAATATTCATTTCCATCAACTCAAACACCAGATCCAAGGTCCTTTTGTCCGGGTCACTGCATTGCCAAGAATCGAGAGGCGAGCGAGGCCAATGGGAGGGTCAGCAAAACCTCGGGGCTATTATCAAGAATGCATTGGCAAGGAACAAGAAGGAGAAGCGTGCGAGAGGCTAGGGACCGTACTAGATGACTTCGGTCATGTCAATAATGTTGGGGTGCGGGTTCAAACGGCGAAGGGCTTGAATCTCGCGCAAATTGTCAATCTTCTCGGCACTGCAAGAAGAAAAAAAGGCAGAACCACAAAAGGGGTGGATTAATCAATTGGGTTGCCAAGCAGGCCCGGAAGAACGCGGCGGGTGCATCGCGAGGCTTGACTGACCTGTTGAAGTGCCCCTTCATTCGCTTGATGGCAACGGGGACGCTGTCTGAGCGCCGTGTACCCTTGACGACCTCGGAAAAGGTACCTTCGCCAGCCTTGTTTTTGAGGTCATAGCCTGCGTTGAGGGTGGTGCGCAACACGACAGAGGAGGCGCAAACATGCAATGCTCGGATGAGTCGATGGGAGAGAGCGTGTGGAAACTGAGGCGTCGATACAGTTTCTCGGCTCGCAGATGCACAGCTTTGAACCAAGCCGTTGTCATTCAACACCGTACGTACGCGACTCGAGGCTGGCAATGGTGGTTGCCATGTTGTGTGGTCTTGAAGGTAGTGCGTTGAGCGCGTGCACCAATATGCTGATCAAGCAGGGCTTGCTCGAGCAGAGCGATGCGCGAGGGCGCGCAGCAAAGGCACGCTCGCCCAAGCAGAGGCGAGGTGTTGACGGGCACGACCAAACGAGAGAAAAAAGGGGGGTCAGGAAGACCCAACCTGAACCAAAGAGCAGCACACGAGCGCCCTGTGCCAAGGGTTCGGTAGCATCCAAGGACAGGAACCTTTGAGTTCCTGTGCCCGTGGACAGGTACGCGTGTGTGTACCTGTGTGCCCGTGTGTTTGTGTATACAACTCCCAAGAGCGGGTCAACGCCCGATCAACCAGGAAGAAAGAGGAGGAGGAGAAGGAGGAGGCCGACCCCAGTCTCGCGCCCCAAAAGTTGTGTCAGACTGAACAAAAGGAATGCATTGACCCGTCAAGACCACTGCCCACTGCCAGTCACGACCGCTCAGCCGGTGCAATGTAGACTGGGCTAGACCACGAGTCAGGCACTGCCCCTCAAACCAAAGCAGCACCAGTACCAGTACCAGCACCAGCACCAGCACCAGCTCAGGAGGAGAAGAAGGAGAAGGAAGGAGGCAGGGGGCTTTGGTTTTTGAAATGCAACCGTTGATTGTGTGTGTGTCACCTCACAACCAATCTCCTTCTGTCTCTTTTGTGCTCGTTCTTTGTCGTTAGTGCTCTCTCTCTCTCTTCCTTTCTCTCTCTAAGTCTCTCTCTCTCTCTCTCTTCTTTTTCTTCTCTCTTTTCTCTCTCTCAAGCTCTCTCAAGCTCTCAATCTCTCGCAGGCTCTCTCCAACTCTCTCTCCCTCAAACTCTGTCTCAGGTATCAGCGCCGGGTGACACACATCAAATCATGGCTGCCATTTGCTCACACCGCTCTGCTGTGCTGTCCTGCCTCCTGCTGTTGTTAGGGGACGTTTGACGCGCAGAGACTTAATGTGTGATGTATGACACACTATACCAGTGCGATCATCACAACAACACCGTGTTTGCTTTGCACAACACGACATCACAGCGCCTGAGGGTAGCCAAGCGGATAATTTTGTATTGGTTTGAACATGACTTTTGGTACTTAAAGTTATACGAAAACACAGGCTCTCAAGCAGCAACCGAGCAGCGAGAGAGAGATTGATTTGAGCTCCCCGCCTCGGGCGGGATATGGCGAAGACCCTTGTTGAGAGCACCAACGTCACGGACGGACGCAAAAGAGACACCGCAACAGCACAAGCTCATTGAAGACACGCTCTACCCACACATGCCTGCCCTCCCCCCTTTCAAGCCATCCATTCCATCACCATCATGAGGGGAAGAGGGCTGAGCTATAAGGCCCTTTCCTTTCCTAATCCTCGGGCAGGGGTTCATCGCTTGTCTCCTCAATCAGACGCACACGAATTTCCGTCGTCGGGTCACCTCGTAGAGCATCCTGCGTAAACTTGACTTCCGACCGAAAGGAAATCTAAACAAAACGACAGCAGGGCTCCGGGGTATCAGCGCAGCGTCGTACGCCGAGCCCAAAGCAATTTTGCATGTCGACCACACAACCTCAGAGCAAGCAGGCCAAGGCTCCCCAAACGAGTGACAGATTGTTTACCGTCTCAAGAGCACCGCGAATGACACCGGCCAAAATATTGCTAAACAAGAGGCCACGATGGTTCTCCGGCACCTCGGTAAAGGTGACTAGCGGGTTGTCCTCCAGGATAAAGTAGCATTCGGTTCGTTCAGGTGACCACTTGGCCAGATTGGGCACCACGCCAAGGTATCGGCGAAACCCGTCCTGTCCCCACACCAACGACGTAGCCAAGCGAAGTCGTAATCAGTCAGTCACTCACTCAGGGGAATGGAGACCTTCAGAAATGCCCACCGCAACCATGCCTGCCGCTCAAGCAAGTCAGGCTCAAGGCATGCAAACGCACGACACTCGAACCTTGGCAATGACGTTGCATGCTTCTTGGAATGATGCACAGCGATAGTCTTGATTTGTGTGTGAAAAGAAATCATCGACGATCCGCACGCCAATGTTGAATCCCCTGTTCAGTAGACACGCCCGCCCAGAGTGTAGAAAGGTGAGGTGACACTACCACCAATCTCAAATCAAATACCAAGGCACGTACATGCGATCAAGCTGCTGGTTGACGTCCTCGTCGTCTTCGTAATCCTCAAGCAATTGCGCCACCTGTCCGCATAAAGCCAGACCCATCAACTCTCGGTCACAACCCAGACAAGAGAACTCTGCAGGTCTGCTATGGCCTTCCCGTCACAAGCCGCTCGCACTCGTCCACCCCCCCCCCCCCCCCCCCAAAAAAAAAAAAAAAAAAAATTAAGGGGGAAAAAATCAAAGGG